GCTATATTGCTGATTAGGTGGTCGATTTTTGAAAAGGTTCCATGTGGTGCCAAGAAGAAGGTATATTCTTTTTTATTTGGATGGAATGTTCTGTAGATGTCTTTTAAACCCAATTGGGTCATAACTTCTATGAGTTCCTGTGTTTCTTTGTTAGGTTTCTGTCAGGTGTTCCTGTCTAGTGGTGAGATTGGGGTGCTGAAGTCTCCCACTATAAGTATGTGAGATTTTATGTGTGATTTGAGTGTTAGTAATGTTTCTTCTATGCATGTGGATGCTTTTGTATTTGAGGCATAGATGTTCAGAATTGAGTCTTCCTCTTGATGGATTTCTCCTTGATGGATATGAAATGACCTCCTTCATCTCTTTTATTGATTTTAGTTTAAAGTCTAATTTGTTAGATATCAGAATTGCTACACCCTCTTGTTTCTTAGGTCCATTTGCTTGGAAAAATCTTTCCCAGCCCGTAACTCTGAGGTAGCATTTGTCTTTGAAGTTGAGGTGTTTTTCTTGTATGCAACAGGATAGGTTCTGTCTTCGTATCCATTCTCTTAACCTGCGTCTTTTTATAGGCCAGTTAAGACAATTAATATTGAGGGATATTAAAGACCATTGATTGTTCATTCTTGTTTGTTTTGGATTTTTTGGTGGTGATTGTATTGTGTATGGATTTCTACCCCTTTTTTATTTTATTTATTTTTATTTTATTTTATTTTTGGTTTTTCGAGACAAGGTTTCTTTGTGGCTTTGGAGGCTGTCCTGGAACTCACTCTGTAGACCAGGCTGGCCTCGAACTCACAGAGATCCGCCTGCCTCTGCCTCCCGAGTGCTGGGATTAAAGGCGTGCGCCACCAACACCCGGCTTACCCCTTTCTTCTTTTGGCTGTTGGTAAAGTGGGGTTATCTATTGCCTATGTTTTTGTGAGTGTAGTTAACTTCCTTGGGTTGGAGTTTGCCTTCCAGAACTTTCTGTAGGGTTGGATTAGTGATATGTATTGTTTAAATCTGGTTTTGTCATGGAATATCTTGTTTTCTCCATCTATAGTGATTGAAAGCTTTGCTGGGTATAGTAGTCTGGGCTGGCATCTGTGGTCTCTTAGTGTTGGTAGAATATCTATTCAGGACCTTCTGACTTTCAAAGTTTCCATGGTGAAGTCAGGTGTGATTCTGATAGGTTTGCCTTTATATGTTAGTTGACCTTTTTCCTTTGCTGCTCTTAATATTCTTTCTTTATTCTGTATGTTTGGGGTTTTAATTATTATATGGCAAGGGGACTTTTTGTGGTCCACTCTATTTGGTGTTCTGTAAGCTTCTTATACTTTCATTGGCATGGCTTTCTTTAGGTTGGGAAAGCTTTATTCTACGATTTTTTAATATGTTTTCTGCACCTTTGAGGTGAGTTTCTTCACCTTCTTCTATACCTATTATTCTTAGGTTTGGTCTTTTCATGGTGCCCCATATTTCCTGAATATTCTGTGTTAGGGATTTGTTGAACTTAAAATTTCTTTGGTTGACGAATCTATTTCTCCTAGTGAATCTTCAACACCTGAGATTCTCTCTTCCATCTCTTGTATTCTGTTGGTTATGCTTGCACTGTAGTTCCTGATTGTCTACCCGGCTTTTCTATTTCAGCGTTCCCTCAGTTTGTGTTTTCTTTATTGTCTGTATTTCAGTTTTCATGTCCTGAACTGCTTGAACTGTTTCCTTCAACTTTTTAATTTTTTTTCTTGGCTTTCCTTAAGAGATTTGTTGATTTCTTATATTTTTTTAGTTTGTATTTTCTTCAATTTCTTTCAGGGACTTTCTCATATCGTTTTTGAGGACCTCTTTCATTTTCATGAAGTTGTTTTTAAGATCTTCTGCTTCATCTGAGTTGCAATGTTCAGGTCTTGCTGGTGTAGAGTACCTAGACTCTGGTGGTATCGTATTGGTTTTTCTGTTGTTGAATGTGTTTTTATATTGTCTTCTTCCCAGCCCTTCTTCTAGTGGGTGCAGGTGGTCTCTTCCTCTCCTGGTGGGTACAGGTCCAAGGTTCTCTTCTGGTAAGCACAAGCAGGTTCGATAATCTGAAAGTTCTCCTCTTCCTGTGGGTGGAGGCAGGACTAGTACCAGAATGTTGGCAGTCCCTGGATGAGCTGATCTGCTGTGACGGGTTCCCTGTCTGTAAGCCCCAAGCCTCAGGAGGCTCTGAGCAGGGCACCAGAAGGTGGGCCGGAAACAGGCCCATGCTTACCTCCTCCTGTAAGTGGAGGCAGGACTAGGACACTGTGGCAGTCTCTGGATGGGCTGCTCCTCTGGGACAGGTTCCCCAGCACACAGTCCCCAAGCCTCAGGAGGCTCCGAGCGGGACACCCTTGTTTTCTTTTTATACTACCACAAGCACTGCCTTCTGTTTCTTCTGACATCGCAGCTTTGCCTTTCTGTCTCTCGCGGTGACTATAGCTTCAGTGCTTCAGCTGGAATAACTGTCTGTATGATCTTGCAGGTTTCTTAATCTCTGGGCTGGTTTGCCCGTGTATAAGGAACTGCTACCGACCTCCTAATAGCAATGGATTGAATGCAAAAACATTTGTAAAGGTGCCTGACTTTGAATGGCTACTCAGTAAGTGGTGTTTGCATTCACCCCACTCTCTGTTCACTCTCTTTCTAGTGTCTTGATGGTAACATTGCAATGGTATAATCATTATGCAGCAATGTGGAGAGCACTGGAGTGGGCAGTTAACTAAGAATAAATTAAGAGGACTAAGAAGTTTTAGTTAAAAAAGAAAAGGAACCGCCTCCAACACATACACACACACACACACACACACACACACACACACACACACACACACACACACACACACACACACACACACAGCGTTTGGAATAGCTGAGCCAAGGAGATAAAACCAAGCCCTATGCATTTCCCTTTAGGAGATATTTTCTTTGTGTTCTGTGCAAGCCAGCAGCCCTAGTCAGTCTCCATTGTGTATGCAACAGTGTGCAGAACTTCCAGTTATTGTCAAACTTGAGCCAAGCAGAGGCATCGTGTGTGTGTGTGTGTGTGTGTGTGTGTGTGTGTGTGTGTGTGTGTGTACTCCTAACCCAAAACTTGTTCTGCCTTTGGTTTTGTAATGAAAACTGGTACGTTTTCTCGAGTTTACTGATATGCTATTGAAAATGGAGGAAAGGCCTGGGTCAGAGTGAAACTGCAAGAGTTCTGTAGTTTGACCCAAGTGAAGCAGAACCCTAAGTTTAGAAATTATATTTTGCCCTAAAGTTATTTATACTCCTTTGTTAAGGGAAGCTTTTTCTTTGAGAGGAGCCTTCCCGCCCGCCTGGTTCTAGATCCGCATGAGTCCCAAATAAACACACAGGAGGCTATATTAATTATGAAGCTGTTGGCCTTGCTTGTCTCTTACTGGCTAGCTCTGCCTTAAGTAATTACCCCATAATTGTTAATCTAAGTATGTCTCTTACCGGAGAATAGTTCCGGGCTTCCTACCCCCAATGGCGTTACATGTCGACTCTCCTGTGTTTCCCCTTCCCAGAATCCTCCTCGACTCCTAGTCCCTCCTATCTAGGTTTTCTATAGGCTCAACAGTACTTTATTGACAAATAACAGGACTTCCCCAACACTCCTTTAATTAGATTTTTTTAATATGAGGGTCCTGAGATCCAAGTTTCAATCTGTTTTTGTGTATGTTCATGTCATATGTATGCAGTATGTATACATGTGTTCATGTGCATATGTATACATGTATTCATGTGCATATGTATGCAGTATGTATACATGTGTTCATGTGCATATGTATACATGTATTCATGTGCATATGTATGCAGTATGTATACATGTGTTCATGTGCATATGTATACAGTATGTATACACATATGTGCATATGTATATATTATGTATACATGTGTATGTCTCTATGTGAGGAAGTCACGGGTTAACAGAGCCACCTCTTGTTTTTGTGAAACTACAGGATCTCCCCGTGGGACCCAGCATTCTAATCAGAGTAGGCTGGCTGACTGGCAAGCCCCCAGGATCCCCTGTCACTGCCTCTATGTGCTGGGATTACAAGCACCTGCCACCTCACCTGTTTTCTTATGTGGGTGCTTAGGATCAAACTCAGGTTCTTGTGCTTAAACAGCAAGCACTTTACTGTCATAGTAACTGTTCTATTGCTGTGAGGGGACACCATGACAAAGGGAACTCTTTTTTTGTTGTTGTTATTTTTTGTTTTTTGTTTTTTTTGTTTTTCGAGACAGGGTTTCTCTGTGGCTTTCAAGGCTGTCCTGGAACTTACTTGGTAGTTCAGCTGGTCTCGAACTCACAGAGATCTGCCTGCCTCTGCCTCCCGAGTGCTGGGATTAAAGGTGTGCGCCACCAACGCCCGGCAACAAAGGGAACTCTTTTAAAAGAAAGCATTTCATTGGAGACTTGCTTACAGTTTCAGACAGTTTGTCTGTGGTCATCATCGCAGGCAGGAGGCAGACATGGCACTGGAGTAGTAGATGAGATATCATGAGAAAGAGAGAGAGAGAGAGGGAGGGAGGGAAGGAGGGAGGGAGGGAGGGAGGGAGGGAGGAGAGAGAAAAAGAGAAAGAGAGATTAATTCTGGGCCTGGCCTAGTCTTTTAAACCTCAAAGCCGACCCACAGTGATACACTGCTTTCAACAAGGTCTCACTCAGGACCATGCCTCCCAATCCTTCCCAAGTAGTCCTTCCACTAACTCGGGACCAAGCATTCAAACATATGAACCTGTGGGGACCACTCTCAGTCAAACCACCAAACCAACCATTCCATCCCTCCAGCCCTTTGATAGCTTTTGATAGTGACTCCCTGTGAGACCTCAGTCAATGCATTTTCTCTCCTCATGACAAGTATTTGCTTTCCTTCTCTTGATGGCTGCTGCTGCCCAGGATCTGAGTGACGTCAAAGTAAGACAAGTGCAACAGACATAAGCCAAAGACAACTATTTACATGGTTTCCTCTTGGATTTTCATCTGTTCTCAGCCCTCACATTGACCATGCCTTGCTGGACATGCCCTTCCTTCGACTCTTTGAGAAGATGCCCTTTGACCTCCGAGAGCAGTTGGACCACCCACTCTGAGGACACCAGCAGTCCTAGTGTTGCTCCTTCATACACCGACCTGCAGCTCATCAGTGCTGAGGAGCAGGCAAGCGGCAGAGCTTCACAGACTGATTCCACTGGTAAGCCAGAGTCCCAAGCTAGAGCTCTCTGCAGATCACTCTTGGCATTCTCAGATCCTCCTGAAGCTCCTCTTTCCCCCGCAGCCAGCTTTGTTTGCAGAATAAATATGTCTGTGGTTGTCTGGCTCGGAAGCTAGCAGCCTCAGTGGTTTGTAGTTGCACTGGGAAAATGTATAAACACACTGGCTGGTTACTTGGCCTATGGTTCGCATTGGGAAACCATTTGATGGCGTATCTCAGAGTGTTGCTCTCAAGAGTGTTGCTCTTTGACAGTTTAATACAAGTGCCGTTTCCCTGTCAATGTATTCTCTCTTCCAATTGCTGCTGAGCTGTGTGTAATATTCACGAGGCTGAATCTTTCATCACACCGCCCACACACCTTGCCGCCTCAGCAAGAGGAAAGTGAATTTCAACAGGGAGAAATTACTTGGTATTTGAAACAACAGTGAGAATCTGGGTTCAGCCACCGTGTCCAGACTGCTAATGATTTTGCAGCCAGATGCCTATAGCATTGTGCCTTCACTGAGCTGTGTGCGGGTCTGTAATGTTCCATGGTCTCATTTGTCAAATTTTACAGTAGGCACAGGTAGAAGATGGGGCCGCCGACATCATGGGCTCTTTGGGATGGTATTGGAAAGATGTATGTTCTTGGTATTTGTGCCATTCGGCCAAAGGATTGTTTTCCTCTGAAAGTGACAAGAATTACTGCTAGTTGCTCTATGGGTGAAACCATTCTCATAGATACCCCACAGTGTCAATAATGTTTTGTTTTCCTTCTCAAAAATATCGTGACGTTTGGTCTCTAGGTCCTTTTTAAGGTTTAGATAACATTTTCTCTCACGCAGTATGCTGGTAGATTCTACAAGCATTACGAGTGGTCCTGTATGGAAAGTCAAAAGCTCAGGCAGGATTTGCTTTGGAAATTGTTACAATTGCCCGCCAGCACAGTTTGCTAAACCATCTGTCTTTACCAACCGTTGTTCTTTATGGCATTTTGTTTTCATGAACATTCCTTCAGTTTGCATTAGTCTCTGTGGCTTATATGACTGTTAAATGCCCAGGAACTCCATTTCCACCGTGGGACAATCTTGTGGGTAGGAGGCACCTGCAGAAGCTGGGGCTGTTAGGCAAGGAGGCTGAGTGTCCTCCTTAGCTCTCATTGCCATCCACTTCCTCCCCAAGGACCCTTTGTAACATTTATGGATGCTCAGACTCCACAGTCATCCATCCAAATCCTGGTTCTGTCAAATACCAGCCACACACATACCCTTCAGCAACCCTTAGCACTATATACATGCATATATATGAGTGTTCTTATTTTTCACATCATTTTGACCAAATACCTGACAAGAAACAAGTTAAGGGGGAGAAGTTTTTAGGGCTTGTAGTTTGAGAGGACACCGTCTGTCCCAGTAGTCCAGGCAGGCAGTTTCATGGTATCCAGAGCATGAGGTGGGGACTCCTCACCTGCACATATCTTGGTGGAACAGCCAGCAGACAGACAGGAAGCTGAGCCTGATAGATTTGAAGACCTGCCCCTAGTGACCTAATTCCTCCATCGACCATCTACAACCTCCACCTGCTGAGAACCACAGGGTAATCACATGGGACTATGGGAAACATTTATTCAAACTACAGTGCTGAGTCAGGGGAGGGAGAAAGAGAGAGGTTGTGTGCACATGCGTGTGTGTGTGTGTGTGTGTGTGTGTGTGTGTGTGTGTGTGTGTGACAATAGGGAGCAGATAAAGGGCCACATGCATGCCAGGCAAGTGATCTGCCCCTGAACTACACCAGGCACCTCTCCAGCCCAAAACCCTTGCTACCTTTATGGCTCAATTTCCTCATCTGACAAATAGAAAACAATAGTGGTGTATAACTTACCGGGTGAGACAATTTACATAGAACAATTTTCATGATGCCTGACTTGGAAGAACTGATATCAGGGATAAACTTTCCCTGCCAAATAGTCTCATGGCTCTGGAGAGGTACAAATTGGGCCCTTTACTGAAGAAAATATGAGGGTCAAACTCAGGGCCTTGTACTTGGCAAATGCTCTGCCACTGAGCCACATCTAACTCCAAAGTTTACAAGTGTGTGTGTGTGTGTGTGTGTGTGTGTGTGTGTGTGTGTGTGTGTGTGTGTGTGTGTTTCTCTGTGTAGCCCTGACTGCCCTGGAACACATTCTGTAGACCAGACAGAGACCTGTCTGCTTCTGCCTCCCAAGTGCTAGGATTAAAGGTGTATGCCTCCATCCCCAGTTATAATTTTAACATCTTCCTTTTCTCAGTAATATTGTTACAGTCCATCATCAAGAAGACCTCCTTCTCCTAGAACATGGGAGGCAGAGGGAGGCAGATCTCTGTGAGTTTGAGGCTAGCCTGGTCTACAAAGCAGATGTCAGGACAGCCAGGACTGTTAACACAAAGAAACCCTGTTTCGAAAAACCACAAAAAGAAAAAAGAAAGAAAGAAAAGAAAAGAAAAGAAAAGAAAAAGAAGAAACAAAACAAACCAAAAACCTCCTTCCTGGTTTGTCAGGGTCCTGGGAGAAAGCAGATGGTACACAAGGAAAGGCTTACCAGGAGAGAATTCATTGAGAAAGCAAAAGCTGGAGGCATGGAAGAGCTCACTCCAGTTGACAGCAGCGAGGATGGGCACTCTGTGTGTTGTCACCTTTGGGTAAAGATGGATTGTGGCACTCAGGCACAGCGGGCTGGATAGTAGACTGCAGGGTGCTGAGTCACAGTCTCCTCCCTGTCATCTGCAGGAGTTCTGCAGGGATTTGGCAGCCTCTCAGGACAGTGCGATTTGCAGTGTAATTGTGGAGGGAAGGATTCTGTGATCAGCCTATACTTTCTTCTCAGTTTCTTACCAAAGGGGATAATTAGAGGAGCAAAACAAATAAATTCCCTGGAGTTGGTAGATTACAGGGATGGGGTCCTGGAGAGTAGCGGTGATCTCTCTAGAGATCCCCATCCCAGGGCAAATGACAGGAAAATTAGGACTAAGCACAGCCTCCAAAGCATCCCCCCTTCTATGTCATCCCGTCTCCCCAAGGTCTCCTTTGCCTAGACAAGATAGGCACACCTGTCACCTTCACCAGGCAGAGAATGCCACCGAGCATACACTTGTTTGTAAACAGCCAGGGGATCAAGGGAATGGGAGCAAGCCTCTTCCTTTGAACTCTGTTCTGAGCAGGGAAGAAGAAACACACGATTATGTTTGTAGTAGTTACAAGCTACTTTAAGTGCTAGGCTTAGGCTCTGGTGTTTGCTTATGAGCAGAAGTGTGTACATTTTAGTGTGAGATTAGAATGCACAGCTCTAGACAAGCTAAGTGGTGTCGGGCTAGAATGTCTGTTAAACAGAGGCAAGAGTTATCACCATCCTAGATGCCTGTATGTCCTTCATATATAAGAGTCCAGCATTTCCCAATCCTGTTCCAATAGGAACGTAGAACAGGATGCTGGGAGCCCTTGGGTTAGGTCATGCTGTGATACCTCTGCTATAGATCCATGGTGTGTAAAGTTCTGAAACATGTACATGTAATGTGTATATATACATACGTGAACACACACGTGTTTACACACACACACACACACACACACACACACACATATTCATTCAGTTTTCCATTGAGTTATCCTGTCTGGTCGGATGCCAATGTATGGAAACCCAAAACACATCAGTCAGCAAGTTTTACTTGGAATTACATGTCTTCACTAACATTTGGAAAAGAACAGAACTTGGAGACAGATAGTCAATGAACTCCCCAGATGAGTTAACTCTATAAATTTAGCTCTACTTTGTCCCATGTGATGCTAGACCTTTTGGCCTTTTTAAGAAGGGCTGTTGTTGTTTTAAGTTCTAGACCTAAGCTGGGCATTGGTGGCAAATCCTAGCACTCGGGAGGCAGAGGCAGGCAGATCTCTGTGAGTTCGAGACCAGCCTGGTCTACTGAGAGAGTTCCAGGACAGGCTCCAAACAGAGAAATCCTGTCTGGAAAAAACAAAGTTCTAGACGCAGAAGATATAAAAAGTGCCCTTTGCTATGCTTCCTTTGTATGTAAATTATACACACCTTTGTATGAAAAGCCACGGACTTTAGAACAAATGTAGACCAGATGATCATGGCTCATTTGCATTTAACTGACTGCAGTGGAGTTTCCCTGGGGAGTGTCCCCAGAGATGGACTCTCCTTTTGTTTTTCTTTCTCAGAAACAAATGTTTATGTTAGATAAAGAGTTACATAAACAGAAGTCTTGCGAAGTTTTTTGTTTATTTGCTGCACCATCCTCTTCCTCCTCTTGAAATTCTTGGCATGTGTATATGTGTGTTGTGTATGCAGGTGTACGCATGCATGCACGTGCTCGTGCATGGAGGGCTGAGACACTTGATGTAGGTGTCTTCCTCAGTTGCTGTCTACTTTATTTATTGAGGCATAGTGTCTCGCTGGATATGGAGCTTGCGAATTCCAGCTGGTCTAACTATCCTCCACTTCGACTGGCATTACAGGCAGCCAACACACTTGCCTGACACTTAAATTGCTCTGGGCACCCAAACTGTTTCTTATGCTTGCCTGGCAGGTGCTTTTTCCTGCTGTACCACCCCACCCCCAGCCCATGGAGGCCCCACCTTTGTGACAGAGAGAGTGTGTGTGTGTGTGTGTGTGTGTGTGTGTGTGTGTGTGTGTGTGTGTGTGTGTGTGGTTTGGGGGTTTTAGTTTTTCGGTTTTTCTTTGTGTATAGTACTGGCTATCCAGGAACTCACTTTGTAGACCAGGCTGACCTTGAACTCATAGAGATCCACTTGCCTCTGCCTCCTGAGTGCTGGAATTAAAAGCATGCACCGACACCACCCTGCACATTTTGTATTTTAATTTTTCATGGGTGTTAAAAAAATACCCTTCCTCCAATAAACACCCACCACGGCTGCTTTGTCTGAAACTCCAGGGCAACTCAGGAGTTTCTCAGAGCACAGATATTAGCAGGATCTTTACATTT